AAATATCATCCTGAGTAAGGTAACCCAATCACAAAATAACATACATGGTATTCAGTCACTGATTATTGGATTTTAGCCCAGAAGCTTGAAATACCCAAGGTTCAACTCACAAACCACATGAAGCTCATGAAGAAAGAAGACCAAGTGGGGGTGCTTCAGTCCTTCTTAGAAGGAGTAACAAAATACTCAAGGGAACAAATATAGAGACAAAGTGTAGGACAGAAACTGGAGGAGGGGCTATCTAGAGACCATTCCACCTGGGTATCCATCCCATGTGCAGTCACCAAAGATAGACGCTGATGTGGATGTCAGGAAGTACGTGCTGACAGGAGCCTGTTATAGCTGTGTCCTTAGAGGTCTGCAAGAGCTTGAGATATTCAGAGGTGGATGCTCACAGCTAACCACTGAACTGATCAAGGGGTTCCCAGTGGAGGAGTTAGAGTGAAGACTGAAGGAGCTCAAAGGGTTTGCGACTCCATGAGGAGAGCAACCATACCAACCAACCAGAGCCCCCATGATCTAAACCACCAGCCTGGGAGCACATAGGGAGGGACCCATGGCTCCAGCTGTATATGTAAGGGAGGATGGTCCTGTCAGGTATAGGTGGGAGAGAAGATCCTTGGTCCCATGAAGGTTGGAAGCTGTGTGTGGGAATTCGAGGGTGGGGAGGTGGGGGGCACATCCTCATAGAAGCAGGAGTAGGGGGGTGGAATAGGGGGTTCCTGGGTGAGGGGGGTGGGGAATGAGGTAAGGGGATAACATTTGAAATGTAAAAAAAAATCCAATAAAAAATGGATGTTAAAAAAAAAGAAATGCTGAAAATAATTTGAAAGTACTAAAAGCTTATATAGAGAAAATAATTTAAGGACAACAACCAGGATCTTGGGTACACAGAACTGAAGAAAACAATTCTTAGATCTTAAGGCTTTCAATCACTACACTGTATACAGTACAGCCTATGATGGTTAATTCTTATTGTTAACTTGATTGGATTTAGAATCATCATGGAAGCACAACCCTGAATGTGTTTATGAGTGTTTAACAAAAGAGAAATAACCCACCCTGAATACGGGTGACATCATCACATGGGCTGGAGACCTCAAACAGAAATATGAGAAGGCTAGCTGAGAACCAACACCCCCCCCCTCTCAATCTGCTTTTTGAATAGCTTCCTCGGTCTCTCTTCCCCAATATGAACTATAGCCACAAACTATCAGCTAAAAATACCCTTTACTTCATAACTGGCTTTTGTCAGATAGTAACTTGTGGGGAAAATTTAAAAAAAAGGCCGCCACAGCGGCGCAAGCCCGCCGCCGTGGCGGGTCCCCACATCAGGGAGGGAGATCCTACGGTTCCAGCGGCCTGAGGGCCTTGGTGGCGGCAGGCCCCAGTAACACGAGGAAGTCCTTGGTTCCAAAAAGGTTTATTGACATGACGGATAATAGATGGATCTAGGCGTATCCCCCCAAAACTCAGGGCCGTCCCGAGTTATATAGGGAGGGAGAAAGGGGGAGGATTAGGGGAGGATCTGGGGGAGGACTGTTTTTCAGGATCTTAGGTGATGGGAGGGACCGAACTCCTGCCGGTTCTCATGAGGAATTCCACAGAGAATCTCGGGGTTCTAAGTACCTGCTCAACCATGACCCAGGATACCCTTATGCAGTCCCACATCTCCTCCCTTTACTTTTTTTAAAAAAGGGGGGTCACTGTGAAAATTTTGGATGAGGAAGTCGAAAGAAAGCACTACGTAGGCCAGAGGTATTAGCATAATTATGTCACAGGGTAAAGGGGAGCAGGGTGGGGGGTAGGGAAGGTAAGGGATCATTGAATCAATTGAATTTATGTGTTACAGTTTGAGGGTAGTAATATCTGACTAATCTAGATAGACATTACATTTTCCTCACTAACATGTAACTTTAGTTATTTGACTTTGGCAAAAGAGTTCATTTGTAGCTGGAAGGTCTGAATCTGTCCACAGGACTCAGCATCTCTGGATATTGGCATGTGTCTCTGGATCTCAGCGTGTCTCTGGAATCTGTAGTCAGGCGGTGTGGCTGTAAGAAGACAGCATGGCATCCTAGACAGGTTCCAGGAGGCTCTATAAGTCTCTGTTGGACTTGTGGGAGCACCTGTAGAATAATCACAACAGAGAAGCGGCACCCCAGCAGGGGGATGTCTGTAAAGGGGTAGCAAGCATTAGGCTACTTGGGATCAGGTACGTCATGGTGTGTCGTTGAGATCCTAGAAAGCAAAGGTGTTTGGAGAAATTTTAGTTTTAGAAGTCACCTTTGAGTCTGTTTTAGCTGGCTGTGGAAGAAAATCATATTAATTATGTAGGCAGCAACAGTTTGTCTGTAAAAGGAAACTATTTGTTAATTAATAGCTGAAAGATGTTGATCAGCTTCTTGATTTAACCTGTGGAAGTAAATTTAGATGACTTTCATATCTTGAAGAAATTTTAAAAGTTGAAAAAAAATTGTTGAGAATATATCATGAGTGAAAAGGAGACATTTAAACAAAAGCAAAAAATTTTGGGTTGAAAAGCACAAACACTGTTGTTCTAGGCATTCCTGTTAGGGGAAAAGGCATTAATGGTAGATTTAGAAGTAGTGGAGGAAAGGCCTGTTTTGCCATGTGGTGGTTTGGGTTACCACCTGGATGTTCTAACAGAGAGGCCAAGGAATTCCCCCTGTTGTTTTTCTTAGAGAAAAGAAAGGCTAACTTTGAAGAAAAGTTTAAAGCGAAAAACATAGAAGTTTGGTAACAGAGTCAGAAGGAGTGAAAGGCTGTGTTTGACTGAGCTACGGCAGAGAGACACCTAGAGGTTGAGAAAGAAATTGTAAGTTAGACAAAGGCGAAGGGGCGCAGATGGAGTCTCAGACTCTCTGCTAACAGGCAAACCAGCTGGGTGATGGCTGGCCGCAAATGACTTAGAAGGGGACTAGTGGGGAAGGGACAAACAGAGAGCCAGCTCTGTTTTACAGGCAAGTCAGCTGGGGTATAACCAGCCGGCCGCAAATGGCGGGGAGTGGAGGAATTTTAGCGCGAATAGTTAACCCCTGGGGGAGGGGCAAACCTCTTGGCAGGCAGAGCGCGGGAGATTTCTTGGGGGGAGGGGTAAAGAATGGCGATTAAGGGGTCTCCACCATTTTGTAGCGAACACGTGGAGAAGAGGGAGAGAGATCTAGTCTTTTGAGTCAGGCAGGAGTTAGTGGTAGCTAAGATTTAGAGAAAACATTGGCCTGAAACACGTGGAGAGAGAAAGAGGGAGAAAGGATATAGAGAGCCGTCTAGTCTTAGGGACTAGGCTGGAGTTACTCACGGTTCCATGGAGAGGGTCTTGGCGGACGCCAGCGGGGGATACTCTTGGAGCTGGCTTTGTCCGGATCCTCTACCACCTGTAGGGAACGATGTAGGCCCATGCGTGGGCACGCGCGGGCGTGAATCTCTGTTGTGTTGTGTGTCCATGTGTCTGCCGTGACACGGGATCTTGGCTGAGTTTATTCCCTGCGACACCAGGCGAGCGCGGCGGGGCCCCGCCCAGCATGGGGAATTTTCACTCAGTTTTCACGGGGATGCAGAGCTCTTGGGGCACGTGGGCTCACGACGGAAAACCCACTGCCGAGAAAATGAAAGGGGTTGGGGATCCCCTGTGCTCTGGGGCAGCCAGGGACCGATTGGTCTCAAGCCCTTGGCTCGGAGGGCTGAGACGGGGGGCATGTGGGCTCACGTCGGACAGCCCACAGCCGAGAAGAGGGATAGGGGAAGAAGAAAGAGGCCCTAGCAGCACCCGTGGGAGAGACTGTACTTGCTTAGCAGACTCGGCGGCCTGGCCAGCTTGTTTGGAGATGTGGGTCCTCGTGGCTGGAATGCAGAGATCTTCTAAGTGAGAGATTAAGCAGCTGTAGCTTTAGTTAGCATGGGAGAAGCGCAGAATCTTCACTGAGTCGATTTCTCACAGCACTGGACAAGGCGGCGAGAAGCTCGGCTGCGTTCTGTAGCAGACTGGGGTGGCCCAGTCCTTGAAGTCCATGGGTGTCTGTGCTCCACGTTGGATGCGCCAAATGTGGGGAAAATTTAAAAAAGGCCGCCACAGCGGCGCAAGCCCGCCGCCGTGGCGGGTCCCCACATCAGGGAGGGAGATCCTACGGTTCCAGCGGCCTGAGGGCCTTGGCGGCGGCAGGCCCCAGTAACACGAGGAAGTCCTTGGTTCCAAAAAGGTTTATTGACATGACGGATAATAGATGGATCTAGGCGTATCCCCCCAAAACTCAGGGCCGTCCCGAGTTATATAGGGAGGGAGAAAGGGGGAGGATTAGGGGAGGATCTGGGGGAGGAATGTTTAATTTGCTCTGCCCTCTGGCCTTCATTAGTATGTAAATCTCTAAGGCCTGAGGCCTATCGCCTGGGTGACTCTATGGAGATCTGTGACTGTTTTTCAGGATCTTAGGTGATGGGAGGGACCGAACTCCTGCCGGTTCTCATGAGGAATTCCACAGAGAATCTCGGGGTTCTAAGTACCTGCTCAACCATGACCCAGGATACCCTTATGCAGTCCCACAGTAACTAATTCAGTCTTCTAAATTTTCTAGTTTGTTAATTCTCTTGTTTCTCATTTATCTGAAAAACTTAATCATGTTAAAAACAAAAACAGGAGCCAACTGAAATGACAATAACCTGTCTCTACTTACATGCCTAGTCCCATCTGTCTCCTGCTTCTCCATACCAAATGTATCTACTGTTCAAGAAGAAATTTCCATCAATATGTTTCTTTTGCATATAGTCTTTCACTATTATTTATACACCAACATCAAATGATACATTTGCCAGGACATATTATTTGGAAATAGGTTTGCTCATCAACCACATTTTGCATAGTTACCTCACCCACATTTCTGAACCAGGCTTATGTCCCTAAAAGGGCATCACTGAGCCCCAGTTATCAACAATGACCTGAAGAGAATGCTGGGAAAATAGGCAAGAAACCAATAAAGATTGGTAGGAAAGATTTTATTTGGAATCACAGAAGGGGATGTGACTAGGGAGCACAATTTGAACTTCCCCCCAAAAAATGTCATCGTCTCAAAGTCCAGAACACAGAAGACAAGAAGAGATGGAAGGAATAGCAGGCAGGATGAGGCCCTGTGAACATAGCTGTCTCCTTTATAGCTTATCTGAAGTCTTCCTCATCCAGGTCAGCAGCAGTCCCCAGACTGCTGGCTACTGCCACAGCAGCCACTGCTGCCACCACTGCTTCCACAGCAGCCACTGCTGCCACCACTGCTACCACAGCAGCCACTGCTGCTACCACTGCTGCAGCATCCAGAGCTGTGGCGATGGCGACGGAGAGATCTGCGGGGTCTGTGGTGGCTCAGGCAGCAGCCTCCACCCCCAGAGCTGCAGCAGCCACCAGAGCTGCAGCAGCCACCAGAACTGGAGCCACAGCAACCCCCAGAACCCAGGCTACAGCAGGAAGACACAGGGGGGCACTTGGGAGGGCACTTAGGGGGACACTTTGGGGGGCATTTGGGAGTCTGGCATTTGGGAGGGCACTTGGGGGTGCACTTGGGAGGGGGCTGGCACTGTTGCTGGCTCTGCTGGCAGGACATTCTTTGGAGGAAGTCTGTAAACCTAAAGAGAAATATAAAAGCAATCAGCACAAGTGGCAAGCAGACATATCCATCCTCAATTCTGTTAGATACTGATTCCAAGACACGCTGTTTCATCTATAAGACCTACAATTATTGGGGACCTGATGTGAAGTGAAATCAGATGTAGTATAAAGTTTCTCACAGTTCATTTTCCACCAGTAAGTGATTCTAACCACCTTCTGACATAGTCCTAGGATCCCTAGGCACTGAGACAGAGCTCCTTGACACTCAGGAATCTAAACATGATGAACTTATCTTTCTTACACACATGTGAGGCCCTGTCCTCTCTGAGAGCATTTTCTAGAAGAGGATTATAGGAGACAATGTTAAAGACCTTAACACCAATAACACAACTCTCCTGACTCCTCCTGGTTTATTATACTTTCCCATTGCCATTTTTCCCAGTCCCTCTTGTCCCAAACTGAGACAGTCACAGCCCCAATGTTTGTTTCACCAGATGTCGGCCAGACCAAGAAAGGGATAGACCACTACACACAAAGATAACTTCAACCTAAGTCAAGATGAGACTAAAAAATCCTTCAACTTGGCTTCCCTGCCCCTGGGGTCCCACCACCTCCTTCTGCACTCCTTCCACTAAGTTCTGGTTCTTTCCCTTCCCAGCCTTCCTTGCTAAGCACTCACCTGTTTAGCAGAAGAAGCAGGGCCTGAAACTGGTAAGGCTGAAGACTGGTAGACCTGGCACAGGAGCCCTTTTATGCTAGGCTGGGGATATTCTTAGAAGTGAGACACAGCATGTGTATGTAGAACAGTCACTTTCACATGAGGATGACTCTTGTCATACTCCCTAGTCTGGAACTCTAGGATCTCTCTGGCAATAGTTCAAGAGGAACATTGTTAGCTAGAGTCTACAAATATCTGTTCACCAAGTCTACTGCAGGCCAGCCATTCCACCTTTGAGCATACACACATTTACTAATTCAGTAAATATTTAACATCTCTATTACTTAGGTCCATAATTTTGCAATATATTAATGCCAAAATATGACATGATTGCCATGAGGAACTTACAGTCTTTGAGCATGAATATGTAAGCAATGGTTCACAATGGTGTCATGTGATCACAATCTTCTGGTTGGCCCCTTATTAGCTCTTCCTATGGGTGGTGTCACAGTCTTTCTAATCTTTTGAAGGTAGGATACATTTTAGTCAGCTGTGGATTCCTCATACATTGTACACTGCTTGACACAGCACAGTTAGGAAGTGGATTAGCTATCAGGAAAGAGGAGGGCTGATTCCTACAGCAATGAGACAGAGACTTAGTTGCTCAGCATCCTTTGGAGTTCATAATCTTATGAGGCAAGACAGAGTGTCATCTCTACTAGTACCAGATACTAACTCTATAGATTAATTATCTGAATGGATAACTCTATTATGAATGAGGCTGGGTTGGCAAAGTATGGATCTAAAGGAGTCCATGAGATGTAGAAGCTAAATCCTTATTGAAGCCATGAACCTAGATTTACAGAGCACATGGATGGGATGACATAATGAAAGATGAGGAAAGAAGCAAATATTAATTTTACTTTAGAAGTTACTAAAGATTTTTGCTTCAGGAATGATGTGAAACTTCTTTTTTTTTTTTGGTTAGAATATTTTAACAACAACAGAGAAGCAAATGAACACACAGATGTTACTGTTTGTATTTTGTAGTTGAGGGAACTCAGTGTGGTAAAGTTTCAATACTTCCAATAAAAGTATTGAAAATTCATACCAGAAAGCTGAGCTACTGCCCGGGTTAGGGCTCCTGAGAGGCCCTCTTCCTCTGGGTTTTGTGAGGTTGGGTACAGAGCTGCCACCTGGGGTCTGCTCTGTGCTAGGGCCCAGACCGGAAGTCCCCGATGTGAAACTTCTTAAAGGTTAGCACTGCTGTGTTAGTGATTTATCGCCAGCTTTCAGCAGACACAATGAAAGTGAATAAGACAAGTGTGGTGTTTCCATCTGTTCCAATTCAGCAGCACTAACTAGTACACACAGGTTATATTACCATGGACAGGTGATTATCACCATATTTAATGAACTTATCATGAAATTGGATGCTCTTTGAAGAAAGCACAGCAATTTTGTGGCAAGAGTCTATCAAGGTTTAATAGGAATATACACAGAAGGATATTAGTTAAAGCTAATTGTATGGGCTTTGTAGCAATTAAATGAGTATTTTAAAAAATGTACAAGTAGATAAAGTCACTAAAGCAAAAGGCAAATGCTGAGAAATGACATTTTTAACAGATAGATAACGAAGATAAATTAATCTGTTTTCTTTTGTTTTGTTTCTTAAACTGTAAAATACCTCCTGCACTTAAGGAAATGGTTTATTTGGGCTCACAGTTCTAGGAGTTCAAAGTTTATGAGCACTATCTGGTAATGGTCTTTTTTCTCTGGCAGAGTTCCAAGGAAATTCAAGGCATCACATAGCAAGAGACAGGTTGTTGGGCCAAATCCTAGCTGAAAGTAGCTATCATCTTTGCAGCCATCTCAGGCCATATACTTGAAGGTTGATACTTTTCCACCCTGACAAGAGACTTGTTTTTCGAGCATGATGTTTTTGCAAACAGCTTACAACAGCTGAGCACACTCTGATAAACATCTTGTTTTTCTCAGACATATCCTGGATTTGTTTAGTGCCCCCTGCTGCAAGGCACTTGTGGTTAGGTTTCTCCAGCTGCACTCCTTTGCTTGTATACCCACAATTGCCTTTCAATAAAGAAGACTTGATCAGACACTCTCTGTGGTCTCCATTCTTCACATCTCTTGCCCCTTCATCCCAACTCTTTCTCTTGCAGATCCCGTTGAATGACTCGAGGGCGGGGTCAACAGGTCACTGGTATGTATATATGATCCCATTCCCTTTTTTCTTCTAGAGTCACCAGGATTTAATTGAGACAATTCCATCTCCAATAAATTTATCTACTAGTAATCACTTTTTGAAGGCCAAATTTGTAAGTATTTTACTCGACTAAGTTTTGCCTTTCTTAGTATTTCACAATAGGGGGTTTAATTTGGACAGGAAGTCATGAGGACACTCCCATTATATTCAAATTAGAACAGGACACATGAGTTTAAAAAATATATGAAAGAAAGTTAAGATAGTTAGCTAATAAATGTCAGAAAAGAAAACATAACACTGGAAAAATTAGGAAAAAATTTTAAGGCTTCACAAAGTGTTTACACTGGTAAATATTAAAGAGGCAGACCCAAGGGTGATATCTATATTAGTGCAATAGCAAAAACTACTTGGTACTGTAGAAAATGAGTGGGTCCATGTAAAGCAAAGGTCACTATTTCAGAAAGATGAAGAAATGGATGACTGATGAATAAAGCATAAGGAAGCCATGGCTGTTTTATTACATGTTCCAGCTGCAGCTGAGAAAACTATGGCAAACCATACACTAGATTTTTGGCTCTGAATCAAAGAACTACAGCAACTAAAAGGGCTCAGTTTTTTAGTAATATCTTCTTTTCAAGTAAAAAGAAAAGTTGACTTTAAAGAACACATGGATTTTAAAGAATGGATTATTCAAAAGCCAATGACAATTTCAATGCTGTTGACTTCTGATTATATCTTCAGTCAAGAGATACTAGAGCTAACAATTGAGAAACAGATGATTTAAAAAAAAAAAAAGGGAACTGATGACTTTCTGTGAACCATGTGAGACACAACAATGATGAGCCTACCAAAATACACTGTTGGGTACAATAGTGGCGTGAGTGATATGGGAATTACCAATTGCTTTGTAATAGGATTTAGGCCCCTGCTTAATGGGAGAAAACTTGGGTCTTGTTCTGTAAATCTTGCAATGAACCTGTAGTTTCAGAGCCCATAGGCCTAAGAGCTGAACCTACAATTTTACTTTGCTAAAATGAAATAGCATCAAACTGCCTTCCAAATGTATATCTGTATACCCAAAAGTTAATGCAGCTCTCAGTTATCAGAAAAGTGTCTTTTCTGCAATGAACAGCAGTTCAGTAAAAGATTAATAATTGGACAGAGTGAGAACAGTGTTTGTGTAATGCTCAGCCATAAACAGGACATCTATATCATGTTTCTCCCTACCAAGCTCAGGAAACATGCAGAAGCGAAGAAGGAAACTGGTAAAGATCAGGGTTTAGGGAAGACTGCTGGCAGGCAGTGTCTTCTGACATGATATGGCCATTACACTAACAAGCTCATAGCAGCTGTAGTTATCTGCATGTGACCGATACATGATCAAACCAATCCACATTCCACCATGGGTGGTGTAAGGACATAAATCCCATTCCCATCTGTGAAGCTACTAGGGGGGTTGACCTGGATCCTGTGAATAACCCCATACCTGTGTGTACATGGGCAATTAATTGAATTCAGTAAATTATTAACACATGAAGTTGAGACAGGGGTATGGGATTATCTAGAAGGAGCTGGAGGAAATAAACAGAGTCAATATGATAAGAATAAATTATTTGCATGTTTAAAATTCTCGCTGAATAAGAAAGGTTAATTTTAAGAGGATAGCTAAATAAAAAAAGAGAAGGTGCTTAAGAATATTGGTTTAAAGGGGTAATTTTGGAATGAAAGAAACTTAAATTGGCATTGCTGCTCCTCATAAGACAAGTTGTGCAAGTGTAAGTTATATGTATTTCCCAAGGTGAAGTTTCATCTCCCCTAAAACTGTGGTTGTAATTCTGTTCACCTGCAAACACACTGTGGCACTGTCTATACAGCTCTGCACACAGGTTCCCAAGTAAGGCTGCAACTTAGAAGTGGCAACAGCTTCCAGAGCTACTCTCCAGGTGATCAGTATCACTTCACGTGCTTTGGTGTTTAAAATAAGGTCTATTCCACCCAACAAGACTCCCTTACCTCTGAGAAGAACTGATATTATCTGATTTAATTAGGAGTGTTCATTTCATCCTGTTTTTCTTGGTGTTTTCAAGTAAGTCCATTGGCTGATAGATATGAAGGTGGCAGAAGAATGGGGCATGACTCATTTTAAAGCATGTGTTAAACACCCTGCATGCAAAGCATCACACTAGATGCGTACAGTATTGGGAGATACTGGAAACCACCCTTATCATCAGCTATGTATCTACAAAACTTTCCATCTAGTAGTTCAAACAAGTACTGCACTACTTTAACATGAGGCAGAAAGTACTAAGGTTGTTTTTGGGGAAAGCAAGGTGTAACTATCTGTAGATAAAGACTACATGCTGAAAATGTGCAGAGATGGATGCAGAAATGTGAATATCCAAGTGTGTAAAAGGGGAAAGATAATAGGAGAAAGTGTCTACATAGTAAAAACAGCTACATCAAATAGTGAAGAAGAAACTATGATATAAAGTCATATGAGGGAGACAGTTAAAACTCTGACCTTAGTATAAAACATTAATCTCTGATACCTTTATGGGTTCTATGAATTCAGAGATGAAAACTATTTTTATGGGCTTGAAAAAGTAAAGCATGTTTTACACTTATAATAGCTAATAGAAATTACAATGAGAATGATATTTATGGTGGTTATATGATTTTAATTTTAAAACCTCAACCATAAGTGGGAATATGTCAAACAAATTTAAAGCATAGCTTTGCTATTTCTTTATACTATTAAAGAATGCTTTATTACTAGATTATTTACCTCTCAAACTCACAATTAAAATTGAAATTGTTCTTTTTAAAATATGGATGTAA